GCGATCTGATTCCACCACGAAAAAAGGAAAAGACCAGACAATAATCAAGTCATCAAATCCAAAAATTGATCATCATCATCAAGAGCAATTTTGAGTGTGTGTAAACGTCTGAGTGCAACGGTGCGACTCACACTGCTTGCATCACCAATCGCAAGTTGACTGTTGCCAGAAAATAAAAGCCTGATGCTGCAGCTGATGACTCTTCCTCACAGAGGAGTCCTCATTCTTTTCATCTTCACTCTGTCATCTTCTCACTCCATGTCTTTAATCTGTTCTCACCGTTTTCTTCATTCCTTTCTCCAAAGATTTCTCATTTACCCTATTTCAAGTTTCCTTCTCTCTTTCCGTGCCCATCACTCGAAGCTTTCCGATTTTCAGGCCAGCCGGCGCAGAAAAATACACAAAACTCAATCAGTTCTTGTTTATTTTATTTCATTCAGTCTTGTATACTCTACCCCCCCTGCTGAACCGATAGGTGGTCTCAGGCAGGCAGGCAGGCAGGCAGGCGAGGATCAGAGTGATCTCTGAACTTCACCCCTCCTCCATCAGTCTGAAATCTTTGAAATCTACCTCTTAGTGCATGAGTCACAGAAACAATTATACCGCCGTAGACTAAAAGTACAAGACTCCAATCCACTGGGGGTTTTTTTTCCCTCACCTATCCGATTCCAACAAATCGACGGTAGCCTTGGAAACTAACACAAACAGAGGAATCATTTAAATCTCCAAAGATAAGTCATTGCAAGGATTCTTTTCATCTCCGATCACCTGAATCTTCCCTTTTACCCCCATCCAAACTAATGAGGCCCATTAAGATAAGCTACTGGGTGACCTTCCTCCTCCATCATCAGTAGAGTTTGCTTAAAAGCTTAAGCAATCTGTCAGCTATTCTCAAGCTGTGTTTCTATCCATCCAAAGATTTCCTTGGTGACAGAAACTAAATTTGATCAGATCAAATGCCGAGGGACGTTCAAGACCCAACTACCTTAATCTAACCATCAATCACAAACACCAACACATGCTGCACTTAGAACAACTGCACCTTTAGAAAGCCAGCCAGCACCAGATGATATCCCAACTCTCAAAGATCTCTAGTTGCCATGCCCACCCAGAGCGGGAATGTGATTGGTTGTAGGGCGGGAGGGCGTGTAGGTATGTAACTTTACTCTCAGCTTTCTGCCACATGTCAACAGTTGCTCTGTCATCTTCGACAGAAACACACTAACGGGGATTATAGGAGGGGAGTGTGGAAAAGTGCTCCTGCATGCACTTAAGACAACCCACCACAAATGTTCACGACTTAGGTTACACAAAGTGTCATTAAGTCAAATTGTGCTTTATAAAGTTCTCTGCAAAATTGTTGTATCAACCCTTAATTCCATCAGACGTTGTGTATCAAGACGGAATTGGTGGAACTATTTAATACTTTCCAGAAATGTAAAAGTGATTTTCCCAAATTAACCAGAAACAGAAACATTACTACTGATGGTTAGCTTACCAGAACTTAAAAATTACTTTCCAGAACATATGTGGTACTTTAAGGACTTTAGAAGCAACTTTTCTTAGAATTACCGAATCCTTTTCATAACTTTCTGATAAAGGACCCAATCAACTGCTAAACATCATTTCAGAAGACCTCATGGGTCCTAAAAGTACTAAAGTTCCACAAAAAAAAAAAAAAACCTTCCAGGAAATTTACTGGGTAAATGGGTAAATTCCAAAAATTAAACGGTAAGTTCAAAGATCCAGAGAGTAATCCCTTAAATTCAAGAAGATTGCCTGGTAACTTCTCCCAAGAGAATTTCAGAAAAGTGTCTTCAGTTCTTGGAAAGTAACCAGTAACATCCTTCAACATTCCAGGAAAGCAAGACATAAACACAAGAAAGTAATCTAAAGAAAATCTGACGTGACCTTATTGGAATATGAAACTGAGATAAGTGTGATTAATTATTAGCCTCTGGCACTAAATACCACAACAGAGTTCTCAAACCCTAGTCCTACTGTCAAGCAGATTTTAGACGCATCCAGGACAGCTGGTCACATGACTGACCAACCTCTTCAAGATGCCACCAAGTTTGGCAAAGACCAAATAACAACCTTAAAATTTACAAACTTGGATAAGAACTAGAACACTCATCAAATTTCAGCAACACCATCAACCCTCTGACCACTGTGCAACTAGAAAAGAAACCCGGATCTCCGAACTCAAAAACAGTGGAGACGCTGTCCATGTCAGCGGATGATCTTCCAGCAGGTGAGGAACAAAAACCCGAGATTTTTAAGGGGCGATCTAAGGGAGATGAATTCGCCGAGACACTACATGCTAGAGTCTATGCAGGTCTGGAGAAACTTCTGCTAGACAGCTGGGCTTAATATGGTCCTCCACAGCAAGATGAACTGAGTCCAATGGCTCATCTAGCATTCTAAAACGCCAAAGTACCGAACGTTTGAAGAGACCATTGTCTGAGGTACAACATAGTTTCCATTCGTCTTCAAGTGCAGCGTTCACATTTCTGTTTTTAGCACCTTTTTATTTATCCGTGTTATAATTTCTATGTTTATGAATGTAGCTATGAATAATTAGGTATGTGGCATGTAATTGACAGTTGTTTGCAGTTGCCAGATTTATGAACAGCTAAATGTTTGTACGATGAAATTCATATGAAGGATTTATGCACCTTAGTATACACAAACTTTTTATTCATATTGCCCATTACATGTTCTCACTGTTCTAAAGTTATCCATAAAAGTTCACAAATGTTTCTATCAAAAGCTGTTTTTTTTTAAAACCTGATCTGTTTTCTGACAAATATTGGTGTTAAACTAGCATTTTTTTTGGCAAAGAATATTTGATAAAGCCAAAAAAAAAATATAAAGTTTGTGTTGCAAAAGGGTTACATCTTCAAACCCAGAAACCTTCAAAATGAAAACTAAATTTAATTTTTGAACTCCTTTACAATTAAAAATATGCACAGTCCAAAACTATGTAGACATGTATTGTACGCAGTCCTGCTAAGGATCACCAGGTTTCCATATTTTCACAAGTAACTGACGCACACAGAAGGAAAATGAGATTTGTGTGACAGAAAAGCTCAGCCAGGGCTCGACATTTGTTTTCTACCAAACAAACCATCGTCTCCTTGACGCGGGGCATCAGACAAAGCTCATCTGAGCCCCTGGGATTCAGGAAGACTCGAGGAGGATCTTGTGATGGAGATGACAGCAATACAAGCACATGTTCCCCTCACACACACACAAAAAAAATGCTAAATCAAAATTTATTTAGAAAAAAAGTATTCTTCTGGCTGCTTCTGGTTCTGATTAATCTGCTGTGAAGTAGATTGAAACTGCATGTGTTTATTAAGAAATGACATTGGCTAAATCTGTGGCATAGCCCAAAAGCTTTGTTTAAAATCCTGTATGTTTGTCTTCCTTGGCATAGCAACAAGCAGTTCCATGTGAGCCCATGTCAGTGATTTCCTTCTCCTGCTAAAGCCTCGGCTCAGTCCACATGTCATATGACTGGTAAACATTGTTTTTCTACATCTTGGACTGCTGAACGCACCTCTGGTCCTGCGCATGTACACCGCCGCTAAAAACTCAGGATTTGCTTTCTGACTCCCTTTCTCGTTTTGCAGCTAATAAATACAAGGGAAAAAAATGAACAGCATGCACTGTCATGTTAGCTTTCCATTCTTCAGGCCTCACTTTCTTTTTGACACAAACACTCGCTGCAAAAGTTTGCATCAGAACGCTCGGATGAAGCAAGACCGTGGTACGGCCAAGTGCATGCCGTCCTGCCTCGTGTTTAACACATGCTGTTCCAGTTTACTTGCATGCTGCAAAAGAACAAGAGTGACAGTTGGCTGGATGCCCACCAGCTACCCGTCTTCGCCCAGGGTTTTAAAAATGTCAAGCAGGCATATTTTGTTGAATAATTACCAACACAGTCATCAGGAACTCTATCCCACCTACATTTAGCCCTCAATTGTTTGGCAACCTTTCGAATTGCAGCTTGCAATCTTGGTTGTGCTTTGCACCTTATGATCCAGTCACAGTTTTAAAGCCACATTATGATCAACTACTAATAGACTTTATGAAGAGTTGGACAAAACAGAGAAATAGATGCACTGAAAATGCTAATAAAAATCGAAACGCAAGTAGACAAACATTTAAACTGACCCTAAAAATACATATATTTCAGTGTTTTGCAAAAATATCCACGTTTCTCAAATTTTTTCCACCCGTCGTCACATGGCAACCGCAAACTTTAACGTCTTTTATTGAGGTTTTGCTGATGGACTGAAATAAAGCAGCTTGTGATCATAAAGTGGAAGTATTTGCATGGCCTGAGTCGACACTATGTAGAATCCTCTTTCACTGAAATAGCAGCAGCTGGGGTTTTTCTCAACCGCTGTGAATTTTGTGCGGTTTAGCCGACTAAGTTATGAAGTAATCCTTGGATGGAGCTGAATTAAAGGCAGATTTTGCCACACTGACAACTTCCTTTAGATTTGGTTTCAAAAGATAAAAATCTGAAAATACTATATGCACTTATAACAAAAATGGAGTCTCACTGGCTAATTTTCCAATTTGAGATGCATTTCCCACTTGTCCAAAATTAGATTGGATTAGATTTGATCGCACTTCCAGCAAACTAGACTCGTTTGTATTAGTTGACAAAAAAGCCTGATCACTTTTTATCTCGGTTTGAATCTTACTAGAAAGGTTTTTATACAATTTGTCTCGTTTTCACCTGGAGAAAAAAAAATGTAGCTGATGGAACCCATGAAAACAAAATTTCAACAATATTAACTTTTCTGCAGCTTCCCTAACAGGGTTTCCTTCATGACTGCCTTGTATTTAGCTTCCTGAATCCCTCCTATAGAACAAGATCAGCGTACCAAAATAAAAACAGTGCTCGCAAGGCCATAGAAGGAAAATCCAGCGCCTGACGAAGAGTTTCAGTAAGAGTGATAGTTTTCAGAGTCAAACCTTACCTGCAGCTCACACCATGCTACTTCCACCGTCGTTTCCGTATCCAGTCCCTTGTACACGGTCTTGAAAGACCCTCTCCCAATCTCTATGTCGAACTTTAGGAAGCGTCCGTCCGGCGAAGTCCCTACGGCCTTCGTCTCTGCCTCCTCTATGTCCTCTTGCACTCGTTTCTCGGCCTCCCTCTGCTCCGCTCTTGCTTTCGCTTGCCCCCTCTCCTCCTCCGTCTCCTGGTCCTTCTCCTCGATCGGGCTGCTGATGCTCCCCTCGAGCGCGGGTTTATCGACTTTTTCGTCCTTTGACGAACGTTGTGCTTCCTCAATCCCTCTGGCACACAACTTGACATCAGGCTGTTTGCCTGCCGCTCTATCCTTAACATCCAATACTGTCGGGGTTGGCTCTTTCGTTGGACCCTCTGCACCATAATCAGCACTACTAGTTGTGGGAACCACAGTGATGGCATTTAGACCTCCCTCAGCATGATGTGCATGCCCCTGTGAGACCACCCCACCATGGTCAGAGTAAGGCTGAAGGCCGGTACTTTGCAGGTAGGATCCTCTTGCGTTCTCGCCCTCGGGTTCTTGTTCCTCGGGCCTGCAGATCTGCGGGGAGAAGAAGAGGGTAGCCCCTTCGCAGTCAGGGGGCGAGGTCAGAAGCACAGTCGCTTTGCTGGGCAGGTCCAAGGCTGTGGCGTTGGAGTCGCAAATAACACTGCGGCGGAAGAAGCGGTGCTCGGCTGTTTTGGAGTCTCTCTCCATGGTGTGGCGCCGCCGACGCACCTCAGGCTGCTCGCCGATCTTCTCCACGACGTGCGAGTCTGAACTGGCAGAGCCGTTCACATTCTTGTGGGGGGTTTGAGGTGACGGGCAGGGGGAGTCGGAGGATGCCGGGGGCTGAGGGGTGAGGAATTTTACTGCTTTGTTGCTACTTTCGGACATTCTTCTGCAGGGCTCAGACCACAAAGGAAAGAAAACGGAAATATAAATAAGGACTTGTGTAAAAAAGAAAAAAAAAAAGTGAGGAATTAGACAAAACTGTCTGTGTAAACTTCGGAACGCAACTCGAGATACTCTCAGAAAAACGCAAAGGCAACTAGTCGTGTCAGGATAGTGGACAGAGCAGCCACTGTTCGGTGTGAGAGTTTGGAAGGACTTATCAGATCTGCTTCCTCTCTGCAGCGTCAGCCGTTTTAACAAGACAACCTACAGTTCCCATAAGGCCCTTCCTTACAGGGCTGAGGGACGCCCCAGGTAAGAAGAGGGGGCTTAAAGACTGGGGAGGCGAGGGACGACAGGCAGTCCGTCAGGGAGCGTGGCCAGCGCTGCAACGAGGTGTGAACGGTCAAATCAAGTCCAGAATCCATCCTGCTGCCGACATCCAGACACAGCCGATGGCAACATAGGAGACCAATCAGACGCTGACAGCCACAGACGAATCTCTTTAAAGCAGGAACAGCAGGTTGTGATGAGGCCCTCTCCCAGCTGACCCGTCTGGAACGGCCAGGCCTCGCCTGGCCTGGCCCGGCTTGGTCTTCTTGAGGCTTTGTGACTAAAAGACAAGAAAATAATGATAATTTATACATATTAAATGTTATTATTTGATTCATCTGTAGAGTCTCTAAAAACTGGCATATATGTTTGTTGCAGAAAAATTCAATCAGTCTCATAAGACAAAAAAAAAGGAAAAAAAAGCCAACTCTTGGAGTTAGCTTGTATTGGTTGCTATGGAGATTCAGTGTCACTCTTTACTACAATTCCCTACAGTGAAACTTGAACTTTTTAAATATTTGCATTTTTTTCAGACTTAATATTTGGTGTTCAGATATAAATCTTCTAATCTTCCAATAACACCTAATTATCAAGTGATATTTTCAAATTTCCTGTCAACCTTAAACATTTTTTAACTCAAAAGCACGACTGCCGAGCGGCCCAACCACCGGGCTCAGCGGGTTTTGTGGGGGGAACCTTGGCAGGGGAAGGACAATTTTAACCTCAGTCAAAATGATGCATTTTTATGAGCTTCTGAGTCCATAAAAATATTTCTTCCAAAGACTTTTGTTCATAAAAGGAGCCCATTCTCGCATGAAGCAGTACATTCGTTTCACAGAAAGACTTGAAATCCATAAAACCCATTAATCAGGAAATTTGAGACGTTTGACATTGTGGTTCATCGTGCAGGGAGACAATGTGCATCCCGAGCGCCTCTGTGCTGTTAGTGCATTAGAGTGATGTAGCCTAATTGCTCCCACGTTCTAAATTTAGCCCAAAGACACAGCAGCAGCCCGACTGACCTCAAGGTTAGGCCAGCCTGTAGCAATTCGGCAGCTTAACATGAGAGAGGAGGCGCGGAGGGCTGGGGGGTGGTCCGCTCGAAGTGACACGGAGAGAACGACTACACGGACCACTAAATGCATGAGTGAGGACAGGACCGCGCGCTCGATATATATTACTCAGCATACAGGATTACAGGGCAGCGCGAGGCGCAAGGGAATATGCTTACTGGGTTTGGCAGCAGCCTCACAAAACAGCCTGCAGATAAACTTCTGCTCTTATCATCACTGGCACAGAGGAACAGCAGCTGCTTTGGTTTGCGATGATGGAACTGCGAATATATTTTCAATCGCTCATCTGTGGGCTTTTTTTATGCAGTCATGCCAATCCTGTATAAATCAAAGTTCACGTCTGAGCTGAGTAAAATGTGAGTCAGTAAATTTACAACTCAACAAACGGCTCTCTTATTAACAATCCAGCTGGTGTGGTGGAATTTATGTCATGAGGAACGTTTAAAAAAAAAAAAAAAAAAAAAAAAAAAGCCTCCAGTATGTCATGTTTGGCGGAGTCAAATCTAAAACAAGCAGTTCAGAAGACGCTTCAAACCTTAGGCTACCCAGGCTGTGTCAGATCTTCCCACTGGAAGGTCCCCAGTAGGTGTGTGCTTAAGACCAGCAGGTACAATCAGCCGGCTTGTTTGTGCAGCCATGTGTGCTGTGCAGTTACACGTGTAATGAACAGGTTTTAAAATTAGCATGGCATAATACCGCAGATTGCGCAGGCCGCCCTTGAGGTTAAGAGAGGAAATTTATTCAACCAGATGTCTCAAGTCCCAGGTGCTGCACTGTCTGCTCACTGTGAGCGGCTCCAACAACCAGGAGGTGAGGTAATCCCTCAGAAGGAGATGACACAGACTGAATAGAGGGACAACTCAAGAATGAGAGCACTGAAGTGCATGACTTTCGTCTAAATCACAAAAAAAAAAAAAAACAACCGCAGCGGTTTAGCACCCTCTCGGTGGACAGTTGCTCTCCTGGTGCCTGAATCATCTGAGCATCGCAGCAGAGCAGCTTCTGCGATCGGTATGAAACCCAATCATTAAATATTCACAACCAAATACATATGACATCAGATGACCACAAAGGCATGCAGCATCAAAGACTTGGTTGTCTTCGTTTGAATGTTTCACAGGAGCTACAAGACACGGGGCTGTTTACCTGGATCAACGTATATTAAGGTTTTAAAAAGTTTCAGTTTCAAAATCTGTCTAATTTTCTTTCTTACTGTGGTTTTAAGCACTTTAACCGGATTGCCAGAGCAGGTGGTGAAAATGTCAACATGAGGAAAGGTTCTATGGTTGTTTCGTTTACAAGCTGAAATTGGAAGTTCTTTTTAGTTTGGGTGAATTTAATAAATTCAGATTTTTCAGTATCTGACCAGCTAATGACGGCAAAGTTAGTCAAAACCAAATAACTGAGAGCTCCAAACACTTTCTGTCAATAAACATAATAATTTAGTGATTTCTTCATTGACTGTGAGATTCACATCTACAATCTCTATTAAAGTCCAACAGCATAAAAACAAACAACATAACCCAAAATCACAAATGGTATGCCAGGCATTAAAAGCAAAACAGAAAAATAAGTTGTAATGGAGCAGGAGATGCTGGATCAGCCCTTTAAATGCCTTTAAATCAGCCGTGCTGATATGCTACATGCTAATTTCTAATAAAATGTATCGCAGAAGTAAATATCTGTGGAGTATAATAAAAGTCCAGGCATTTCAGAGTGATGAAAGCCGTGGCTTATTGAGAAGAGGTTTGTTTGGCAGCATCAAGAGCCCCAGTCAATAGCGCAATCAACATTTACAGAATCATCATTGCACTCCTGATGGATGAAGCATGCACATCACAACACAACTGGGAGGTTGCATGTGTTTTTGCATGCATTTAGTGCTGAAGAGCCCAACAGACTGGTGCTGGATGTGATGCAGAGCTCAGAGCAGCACTGCGGGGTTCACTGCTGCCTGTTGAGGAACTCACAAACCCGGCTATGCTGCTGTCTTTACCCACAGGCTAAAGCAAGACACGAACAGAGTCTGGTTCCGACTTAAAAAAAAACAAAGAAAAAAAATTAATCATTACCTATCACATTGGTGTTGGTTGTGCTGGTCCCGTTGAAGTATGAAGGTAAAAACTTGAATAAACGAGCCTTTACTGAACTCCTCTGCAGTGGGAATCCTCTTCGAGACTCAGCACTAATGTCAGCCCGGTGCGTCACATTAAAGCCACAGTTGGTTGCAGAAAAAAAAAAAACAAACGATGGAGTAATTACAAAAACATGAACCTCTTTTTTGTGAACGAAGTCCCTGGCAGCGGTACGTGCAACAAACCGAAGCCGACAGACAGACACAGACAGACAGACACCTCCCACCGCGCAGAGATGCCAAGTTCGCTCACCGATGTAGTGGCGGCTCTGGTACTACTTTACTGTCTGTCTGTCTCTTTTGGGGTTGTCTGCGTTCAGGTCCAGACTAAAAAGATAACTGCTTCGCTCAAATGTGCAAAACCACAATCTGCATGGAAGTCCGGTCCGCTTCTGCAACCGCCGTTTTGCTCCTTAAGGCGGGTGTGATGCGATAAATCCGCGGTGATGAAGTGATATTCCCCGTTCAAAGCGGTTACTCAGCGGCTCAGCCTGCTCTGGGGTCCTCTCCAGCGATGACTCGTCAAGGCAATGGCTGGGGTATTCACACAGCAGTGACGCATCAAGTTCCTGCCGTGCACTCGTAAGGTAGCGGAAACGCGTCTCCCTTTCAAAATAAAACAGCGTAATTTTAAAACGGGATCCCGCTGCACTGGAGAAGAGATGCAGCAATTTTTTTTCAACAAATGTTGACGCCTTAGAAATCTAAGAGTTTTTAAGCTTGTCATATCACAATTACGAACTTAAAAATATTTAATTGGGACATTGTGTGTCAGACAAGCACTGAACAGAGGTTAATATTCTCCTATGTACATCTTCTAGATAAAGTGACTGACTAAAGAAAGTGCTACTACAATTAACCCTTTATTTATTTATTGGTTTGTTTGTTGTTTATTTATTTAATTAATTAATATAGTACTGGATGTGTCTGTGCTTTCTAAACAAAAATAATACATGACTTCAACAAAGATGAAAAGTTTATGGTTTGACATAAGTCATGTTGTGGACACAAAAGAAGTCTAAGAAGGGGCTCTTACCCAAGAAAAAGAACAAAATAAAATGTAAAGGATACCAAGGAGTTCTTAGGCTTTTACAGTAACAAAAAAATTATCCTAAAATAGAATTTAAAAAAATTATTTTCCATACAAAGAAATATGATCTGATTGAATTGAGTAGAAATAACTCCTAGCATGCTCTAGTCACATGTAACATCTCTATAAGATAAACCAGGGGTCACCAACC